CTACTACGACTACTACTACGACTACTACTACTACTACTACTACTACTACTACTACTACTACTACTACTACTACTACTACTACTACTACTACTACTACTACTACTACTACTACTACTACCTACTACTACTACTACTACTACTACGACTACGACTACGACTACTACTACTACGACTACGACTACTACTACTACTACTACTACTACTACTACTACTACTACTACTACTACTACTACTACTACTACTACTACTACTACTACTACTACTACTACTACTACTACTACTACTACTACTACTACTACTACTACTACTACTACTACTACGACTACTACTACTACTACTAACTACTACTACTACTACTACAACTACGACTACTACTACGACTACTACTACGACTACTACTACTACTACTACTACTACTACTACTACTACTACTACTACTACTACTACTACTACTACTACTACTACTACTACTACTACTACTACTACTACTACTACTACTACTACTACTACTACTACTACTACTACTACTACTACTACTACTACTACTACACTACTACTACTACTACTACTACTACTACTACTACTACTACTACTACTACTACTACTACTACTACTACTACTACTACTACTACTACCACTACGCGCCAGCACCCAGTTGCGCCAGCATTGTTTCTTATGTTGTGGGAGGGCGGAACGTGTCCGTTGTTCCTTTCAACATGGCCAGTCTTGTCGTCGACGATGCGAAATGCGTGGCGGGAATGGGACGCGGCGCGCATCCCGCGCGGACGTCAATGCGGTGTCCTGGGGTATCCTCCAATCGCACTAAAATGCCCGCGCAGCCCCCAGTTGTGCCATCACTGTTTCTTATGTTGTGGGAGGGCTGGTGGGAATGGGCATGCCATGCTTGACTCGCTCGAGCTGGCTAGCTTGACCCACACCCACACCCACCCCCACACCCACACACACACACACACACTGTATGAAAAAACACACAGCCTGTGGGACAAAAACACAGTGTGTGTTGTTTCCACAATGTGTTTTTTGCCCGTATGACTGCCACGAAACGAAAAGCTCTTTTAAGGCTGCCACATCCGAGACCAGCCACACTGTAAGTCACGGCGTTTCCGCCAACCGGCGTTCCAACACGCCCCGTTTGACAATGCTTTTCCCACGCCCAAGACTAGTCGCATTGTAAAGCACACCGTTTTGCAGCTCCGATCGTTGAAAACGTTGTGTTTTACAGCGTCGTGGAGCTCCCGCTGCTGAAACGCTGTGTTATCATAGTTGTTGTTCGACATCTTTTGGTTGTTTGTGTCAAGTCTATTTGGTGCCATATTTTTGTTGTTGCTTTCCTATTGTATCCAAGACAGGATGGGAATCCTTGTGCCAAGACGCCTCGAGCGTGAATCCTTTGAGAGGCCGTCACAGAAGGAATTCGACTGCAAGGCCGCCGCGAAAGAGATCCGCGTGCGAGGCCGCCACAACATGAAACTTCGTGCGCGGCCGTCAGAAGCTCTTTTGCAAGGCTGCGGCGTATGGAAATCTTCTGTTGTATCTTCGGGGGGCCTCGCCTGTCCCAAAAATTGGTGTCTTTTTGGGGGGCCCGACGCGTGCTCGATGCGGACTCGACGCGGATTTGGCGTGGATTTGATGCGGATTCGACACGGATTCGACATGGATCCGAGGCGTCCGACATGGATTCGACACGGATTCGACGCGGACAGGGCCGCGACGGGACAGACAAGGTCCCCCGAGGATGCAACATAAGAAATCCTTTTTGTAAGGCCGCCGCACAGAGAATCCTCTTGCAAGGCCGCCGCAGAGGGAACTCGTTGTTCCAAGGCCGCCGCTGAGAGGCGCCATTCTCAAGGTGCCCGGAACGTGCAGTTTTCCGATTCACCGGCACGGCTGCTGACAAGTGAGCCAGGAGCTTGCATGTTCCAGGGCAGTTCGGTAATAACTTACGGTGGGGAGCGGGGGTCGGGCGGCGGGAACGTCCTCAGATCCCTCCTCTCACCCTCTCTCCTCCACCTCCTCCTCTGACACGTGCGCGGGCCACAATCGGCCATCACACATTACCTCGTGGGTCTCTTCCACCGGTATAGGTGGGGTACAGGTGGGGGCCGACGTGCAGGACTCCTGGGAGTTCGACTCACCGCAGCTCTCGGGCTTCCAGCTTTGGATGTCGGCCCGAGGCCCTGCCCATCGACATCCAAAGTAGGGTTCAGGCCAGAAGCTGTGGGCAGGCGAGCCACCACTGGCGGGTCGGGCACGGAGCATGGGATCGACAACCGATCATACCGCAGGATGCTCAAGCACATGAAGACTGTCAAGAACGGCCGTCGACGGGCTAACGGCGATGCCAGTAGGTAACGGCGACGTAGGTTTTTTTTGGTAGTGTGGGAACGCGTGGCTCGCGCTTGCAGGAAAGTGTGATGCGTAAATTCCTATAATTTGGTTTCCAACATCACCATTGAGCAACATCGCCGCTTGCCCGACCTTGGGGATCTGGACTCTCCAAGCGACGGGGCTGCACGCCACCGACAGCAGGATCGGCGAAGCCACCTCACAGCAGGGTATGCACGAATGCTTCTTGACCCGCCGCCCGATGCCACGGGCGTGGACGCAGGTCCCCCCCCCCCAGCTTGAGTTTACAAGTGGACAAGCGATGGCATCCAAAAATTCGGGCCAGGGTGCTTCGGAGCTGGAATGGGAGGACCGCCGATCTGTACCTTCGGGGACGCCAGCGGTGGCCCAGGTACAGTTATGCTGGGGCTGCGCCCGGTGGGCGTCGCTATGGCGGGCTTCTGCGAGCTAGACGCCAGCGGCATGGACGTGCAGTGCGCGGTGTGTGGACCAGTGCCTGGAGGCAGGCAAGCGGTTGCGAGAGGTGAGCTTCTCGCCCCCCCGCCTCGCCCTGCAGGCAACACCGCACGACGTCGTGTACGCCACGGGCTGTGAAGGAGTTCGTCTGGACTTATACAGCGCTCAGCCGCCCTCCCGGTAGACAGGGCGATGTGTTTGTATTCTGCGTTTGCTCACATATGGCCGCAGAAAACATCATCCAGGCCACGAATACGGGTTGCCTGGTCGGTCAAACCACCTGCACCCCTATCTGTGCAGCTTTCATTTCCGCCCAGCAGCTGGACGAGTCGTAATGTACGTGCAGTAGATGCCACGACTCAGCCAGCATAGTTAAGTGAGTCGAGTGGATGAAGACAGAGTGTTATAACCTTATCGGTACAGATGGGTGTTATAAGTTGTAACTGTATCGGTACAGATGGCACTTGTATGAGGACCGCCCCTGTGAAAGCAGATACATGTTGCGGGGGTGAGCCCATGTAATTCGTCGTCCTAGGTTCCACGCTGGACTGGGGATTTGGTTTTGATCACAATGTGGGGTCTACGCGTCCCAACAGCTTGGGAAGCTAGACGGGTCGTGTATGCCCCCACTGCCATTATATGAGAGTCTTTACAAAGAATCAGTCTGGAATCCTGGCCCAATTGTCCTCAGCAGAGCTGAACAATCCCACAGGACGAGCAGCCCTCCAAGGGATGGTGCAGGTGGACTATTCATATTGCCGCGCGATCAGGCAGAGTCTCCAGAGCCTCCTCTACCTCTTTGACTCGTCGTCCGCCTCCATCCTCCTCTAGTTATCCTCCTCCATCCCCGTCCTCCTCTTCCTCCCTCTCTTTTTCCTCCCTCCTCTCCCTCCTCTCTCTCAGCAGAAGGGAGCACGATATCGATGCCGCTGCCTTCCCTTATCGCAGGGTCCGGATTCGCCCGGAAATTCCGGTCAGAGTGCGCCCCAGGAGAGGTCTGGGGAGACGCGGTATCGGTGTTTTTTTTCCCCCCCCTCCTCTTCCCTCCCTCCCGTTGTTTCCAAGTAGTGGGCCGTGACTTTTCACAATGTCTGTTGTTAGGTGGTGGCTTTCAGGAGTGCGTTGTGTTGCTTGCAATCTTTCTCGGTTCGGCCTTGATCTTTCACATTCGCTCTGATCCGGGAGGTTGTGCTCGTCAGCCGTGATATTTCGCGGCGTTCGTCTTCCGGTGCGTGCGCGTGCTCATCCATGTCGCCTCGTTGATCCGCAAGCTAAGGGCACGCGTGTTATGGTTGAATATGGCGCTGGCATGGCGTCCACTCCACTCCACTCCCTCCTCATTCTTCCCCCCTTCCTCCATCCTTCTCGCCATCCATCCTCCCTGAATCGTCCTCCTTCCTCCTCCTGCCTCCTCCTTCCTCCTTCCTCCTCCTCCTGTGTTTCCATCCTCCGATAGGAGCGCGTCCCGCGCCCCGACGCACGAACGGACAACAATGTGGCTCTCACCGCGGCGCCGTGCAAATGTCGCTTGAAAGCAGCGCTCCCGCCTCAGCGCGGCACAGATAACCTGACGCTCGCGAAGGTTCGAGGCCCCGCGCGAGCGGGCGACTTGTCGCCGTCGCCCAGGCTACATGAGCGTTTCGCCTGGAAATGGCGTCCCCGCGCGGGCGTCGCGCGTGTTTCGTGCGCCGAGTCGTATGGCGGTGGCAGCGGCAGCGGGGCCGCGCGAGAGCGGGCGAAGTGCTGCCCTCGTCTGCGTGAAAGCGACAGTGCTGTGCCGGCGCGGCGCACGCTTCGTCTTCGCCGCGCTTGCCGGAAAGTTTGCCACCTCCGCCCTTGCGCGTGGCCTGCGTAGTTTCCCGCCGCCAGAGCGGCGGAAGTGAGACCGCGCGCGACCGCCTTCCGTTCTCTAGGTGGGAGCGCAGTCCAATCCCAATACCGACCTGCGCCCCACTCGATTCTTATGGGAGGGAGAGAGGGAATGGGCGTGGCCCTTTGGCTCGTTTGACCTGGCTAGCTTGACTCTCTTTCTATTTATTGATTTTTCCTCCTCCTCCCTCTCCTGCTCCCTCTGTCCGCGTCTTCCGCCTCCTGCTCCGCCTCCTTCTCATCTTCTTCCGTTCTTCTTCCTTGTCCTCCTCCCCCTCGCCATTGTCCCCCCCTCTCCTGCTGGCTAGGATCAGAGAGAACACCGCCGTGGCTGTCTTCGCCGCCCTGGACTTGCAGAGCGGCGCGGGTGGCGAGTGCGAGGTGCCACCTCTCCTGCAGCAGCAGGAGGGGGGCAAGAGGAAGGAGGAGAATGGGCAGCAGGAGGACAGGAGGGGGAGGAGGAGGAGGAGGAGGAGGAGGAGGAGGAGGAGGAGGAGGAGGAGGAGGAGGAGGAGGAGGAGGAGAAGGAGGAAGAGGAGGATGAGGAGGAGGAGGAGGAGGAGGAGGAGGAGGGGGAGGATGGGGGAGGCGGAGGAGTAGGTCAAGCTACTACCGCAGGGAACGCAACGTGAGCAACGATGCCCTCTTCTTGGCCCCCACTGGGCCACCGATATCGCCAGTCTGTACAAGGAGGAGGATGAGGAGGAGGAGGAGGAGGAGGAGGATGATGATGGGAACAGGGGGAGCAGGTGGAGGAGGAGGAGGAGGAGGAGGAGGAGGAGGAGGAGGAAGAGGAGCACGAGGAGGAGGAGGAGGAGGAGGAGGAGAAGGAGGAGGAGGAGAAGGAGGAGGACCAGCCAGCGGACCAGCCAGCGGCATAAACACACACGTGCGGAGGTCCGCGCGGATGTCTTGGGTCGGCGCTGGGAGCCCCCGCTTCCTGGCGTGTGGGCGCGCTGTCCAGCGCCGATCCAAGTTCGCGCGGACCTCCGAACGGTACAGGCGGACCGAGGTACATCGAGCAGTGGCGAAGCGTACTGGTTTACCGATAGGCCTACCGAAGGTAGTTCTAATCATTATTTGTGGGTTGCACGACATGTTCATAGAACAGTTCTGGCTGGGACTTTCTTGTTGCATCACATCGGGTTTCTGTTCTAAGAGCATTGCTTTTGTTTTTGGGACACTTTTGGGTTCTACGAAGATTTCGTGGTACGCCTATAGGAATGCCGGGGGCGGTCGGTCCCTGCTCAAGTACAGGATCGAGGTTGGTTCGGGGAGGGCACCCTCATGTTCTCCGCGATTGCTGGATGTTCTTGTGCACCCTGGGGAGGGTACCATTGGATGTTCTGTGCGTGTTGGCCCGCGAAGGGTTTCGCGTTCTTGCGGGATGCTCTTCTGGCCCCAGGTCTGACTGCACGCAAGTTTTCCTTCTTCTAGGAGGGGGTCTTTCACTTTCCCCCCCTGCCTCCGCCGGAGGCAGGCCACCGTAGACTATCCCGCAGTTTGTGTGCGAGTCGCCCGCTCAGAATTTGGCCTCGCGTGCGGTTGTCGATTCCAGGACCGTCGCCGCAAGAGGCGGTCCACCATGACCTTCGCCACGGGGTCTTGGAGGAGCATGCTGTCCTGATCGTGCGTCGGCACTACAGGGCCGTGTCTTCTGCGCGCCTCAGCACGCTTGCTTGCGCAAGCGGCCTGCCCAGGCGCGTACAGTCGGCACTGCAGGGCCGTGCCTTCTGCGCGCCTCAGCACGCTTGCTTGCGCAAGCGGCCTGCCCAGGCGCGTACAGTTGGCACTACAGGGCCGTGCCTTCTGCGCGCCTCAGCACGCTTGCTTGCGCAAGCGGCCTGCCCAGGCGCGTACAGTCTCCGTACATGTTTTCTGTCTTGCCTTGACTTGTCATTTTTTGAGTCCAGTTCGGGGTGTGGCTCACTGCAGGGCTGCAACAACTACAGTGGTGTCGTTGCGCCGATAGTGGCCCCCGCTGCGTTGTTGTGCGGCCTGACCGTCAGTGCCTTCACAATCCTTAAACATGCATGACGCTGTATGCGCAAGCCTGCATCAGCACTAGCTGAGGTACGCAGTGGTCACGCACTGCAGCTATTGTCCTCAGCACCCGATATTGTGAACTTGCTCCTAGCCCGGATGGCGGTCGGATCCTGCCACGAATCGTACCCTTTTGACTGAAGTAAGACGTCCCCTCGTTTGGCATCACTCCCGGGGTGGAGGGAGGGGTGGATGAAGAGGACAGAGGGAGGATGCGGTGGAACAGGGTGTCGACTCTCCCCATCCCTGTGGATGTAGCTGGCCTCGCTACATGTGTGTGTGTGTGCGTGTGTTTCCGTCGGCGTGCTGTTGTAATTCTTTTCCGGGTGTCCCAAGGATTTAGCTTACCATCACCGTTTCTGGTGTTTAAAGTGTCATTGGCGGGATATACGGGATGCCACTCTCCAGAGGTGCCTTAGAGTCTTCCAGGTATTATTGGTCAGTCGTTTGTGTCTTGTGCTCTTCGGTCATCGATCACGGGTACAGAGCATACATGTACCCCACTTTGTTGTTAGCAATAGACGGGTTCAGAAGGGGAACCAGGTATACCATCGTGCACCGTCCGTTGAAGTCAGAACTGAATCCAAAGGATTTAGTTCTTGACGTGGTGAGCGTTCTGAGCGGGAACAACTGTAATCATGTTGTTCTTGGTCCCCAGTTCCGGCCCATGTACCCGTCTGGTACCCATTATTTTTTCGTTTTGGAAGTCTTCCCTGTGAGACTTGTGGGAACACGCCACACATCAACATGCCCCCCAAAACAACTCCGAAAGGATTGAATTGTATGATTGGAGGTGCATCTTCCTGATCTGGGCGTGGTGGTGAGCGACCTGCTGCTGGAGAGATTGGCGGACTTCGCAGCCGGAAAGGCTTCCTGCGTTGTGAATTTCACTGGATGGGCATTATCATAATGATCACAATGATCTGGGCAGCGGTGTTGGGATTGGACACGGTTAGGGTAAATGGCAAGTCTGTGAGACAATACTGCGAGGATGTGGTGAGATACATGTCGGGTGCGGAGGCAAATGGATGACAATGATACTGATTATGATGATGCTGCTGCTGCTGATGATGATGATGATGATCATGGTGATGATGGTGATGATGACGACGACGATGAGGATGCTGATGATGATATTGATGATGATGATGATGATGATGATGATGATGATGATGATGATGATGCTGCTGCTGCTGCTGCTGCTGCTGCTGATGATGATGATGATGAGGAGGAGGAGGAGGAGGAGGAGGAGGAGGAGGAGGAGGAGGAGAGGCCGTGAAGGAGGAGGAGGACGACGAGGAGCATTAGGAGGCTGAGATTGAAGAGGGAACGGTCTCTAATGCATGATGATCAATTACTCATTTGGAAATACTAGGCGCTACGTCCTGCTAGTCGAACGCAAAGCATGTTGGATTACAAATAGTGCCCAGGCCCCTTTGCTCAACTTGTCGATCTGCCTCGAGCGCTATCCTACTCTTTGGGAGGTGGTGGACAACCCCCAAGTCGTCGGTGACAAAAAATCGAGGCACCTTCGAGGAGCACCACTCCATGTCGTGCAAACTGCTCGTGAACGTGCCATCGATGAGCTCGGGCGCTCTCACGCCGACTTCACGAGCCAAGAGGATTGACGTGCCACCCGTGCCCGTCTGCGCAACGCTCACTTGATCTATCGCCTTGCCCCTGGTCGCGCTGGCGGCATCTCGGCCTCGAACAAACCGATGGGGAGGCGGAGACGCACCTGGACGCGAAGGCGGGCACATTGAGGAATCATGGGCCTGAGGTGCGCTGGCTGAGGGCGTGGGCCAGGTTTTACTGCGAAGGTGGGCAGCCGAGGACGAAGACACCCGCCTGATATCGAATTCTGCGCCGCTCGAAGTGTCCAGGTTTCAGCCATCTCGCCGTCAACATTCGCCAGGTTATCGAGCAGTCTAGCAATTCCTCGCCTGGTCCGGAGGTTTTTTTTGTTCCAAGCGTGGAGGCGTAACAACCCGTCGTCTGCCACGATCTTCTTCGATGTTTTCCACGCTCTCCCTCCGGATGATGGGGCTGCCCTCATGGAGCGTTTCGCGGACAGCTTCAACGCCAGCTTGTTGTTCTTCTTGTCCACGAAGCCGTCGGGGGTGGGGCCTACTGGAGAGTGGCACTATGCACCTGCCAACGTCCGCCCATTGCACGTCACCAACGCCGACAACAGGTTGCTGGCCAACGCGGTGCGCATCCTCATTGAGCCGATTGTCGGCCCTAGGGTGTCTGGCATTAAGCGGGGTTTCGTCGGAGGGCGTTCCATGCTACCCAATTAAAAAAATAGAGGAGGCGTCGGTTTATGCCGCCTGCACGTCTGACGGGGCGGGGGCCATCTACTTCGATTTCGCGGCCGCCTTCCCCTCGATCGAGCACGACTTCCTCACGACCGTCTTCGAGTCGCTCGGCTGGCCGGGCCGGCTTCGGAATTTCATCGGCGTGCTGCACCACGGGCATTATCACTGCAACATTGTCGTGGACGGTGCCCGGCACCGCTCTTCGCCGTCGCCGGGGACCTGCTGCTGCGCCGTCTGGCCTGGGATGTCCCGTCGGGCGCGCTGCGCGCCTGCGCCGACGACGCGGCCCCAATCGACCCCGGTGCTCATGCGGCGCCTCTGCCTGCTGGAGCGCGTCTTCTCGGAGTAGACCCGCGCGTCGGGCCTGGAGCTCGACGTCCACAACATCGTCCTCGTCCTCCTCGGGCAGCTCTCCCACCAGCGGTTCCGAGAGCGTCTCCGGCTCGAGATCCCGCTGTGGGGTGCCGTGGAGGTTTCGGGTTCTGCCAAGTATCTTGGTTTTTACATTGGTCCTGGGCGCGGGGCTGAGACATGAGAAGCCGCGCTGAGACAAACGGAGGACCGATCGGTAGTGCGGGGCCAACTTGGAGCTGGAACGATGCACACGATCGAAGCGCACTGCGTGTTAATCGTACAGGTGATCGCCCTCCTCTCTTAGCTCGACCCGCCCCCTGCCAACTTCCAGGCCGTCGAGGTGCGCACGCTGCGGAAGCTCTTTCCAGGCCCGTGCGATTGGATCCACGGCCACATCCTGCGGGCCCCCACGACACTCGGTTTCCCCTGGAAGCTCTCTGGCGTGCAGGCCATCGCCAGTGTCGCAACGCTACGCGTTACGCGTGGTCGTGCACGCGGCGCGCCGCAGTGGGGGCCTGCGCGTCTTGGCGCGCGCGACGGCCCTGCGTGAGACGTCGGGCGGCCTCGGCAGCCTGCGGTGGCGGGCGCCCTGCCAGACCTGGGCCCGTGCACGCCTCTCGGCAGACTGGGGCCGCCGCGAGGCTGCTCCCCGACGCCCCGAGCGACGGCTCGCGCAGGGAACGGACGGCAGGCACGCGCCCTGCAGGCGCGCGCAGCTGGCGTCGGTCGCGGCCGCCGAGCGGGCGCTGCGCCAACGGCGGGATCACTGGCCTCTGCATGTGCTCCCCGGGGCGTCGACGCCAAAGGTTGCCGAGGGCCATGGGCGACCTCAGGGCGCGGGTCCCGCCCAGGGTGCCGGCGGCGGTGTTGCAGGCCAAGCTCTGCTGCCGGATGGCCGCGTGTAGGCTCCCGCGTGTGCCGGCCGCTGTGTTCTTGGATGCGCTCGCGGTGCCTACCCCCTCCAGCACTACGCTCAGTGCTCGGCGTTCCAGGACTCGAGCCGTCGACACCTCCGGCTCAAACGTCCCAGCCCGACGGTAGCACTGTATGGATCCTCACCTCTCAGACCTGCGACGCGGCATTTGCGCGTCGGCGAGCCCCCAGTCGGCGGCGCCACTGCCTTGGGGCTGCGTGCGTTGAGCGTGCACGCTCCCTACCGCACGCAGAATGCTGCCCAGAATTCGCTAGGGGTCGGCCCGCGCTGCGATCTCCTCCGCGGGCTCCTCCGCGAAGGGGTCGGGGGCCATGCGGAGGCGACGACTCTGTTCGGCGCGGTGCGCAAGCGCTGGCTCCCAGGCTGGATCCCTGCTCCCTCTCTCTTGGGCTTTCGGGGGGCTCTGGGCTCCTGGCGGGGCGTGGGGTTGGCTGGCGGCGCTGTTTCGTCCTCTTGTCTGCCGCCCGCTATCCTCGTCCTCTCCTCTCCTTTCTCCCCCCTCCGTTCCTCGTCATCCCCTCGTCCCCCTTCCTCCCCTCGTCTCCCCTCGTCTTCTCCTCTCCTTCCTCCCCCCCTCCCTGCCTCCGTGGCTGTGCTGGTTTCCCAGGCCCGGCGGGCTCGCCTGGTTTTTGAAGTGCTCCCGCGAGGCGCAGCGGCGCTCCCTTGCCCCGTGGACGGGCCTCGGTCGTCCCGTGCTCCTGGCCGCCCTTCTCTTGCGCGTGGGGCAAAGTCGGGCGTGTCCCCCTGCAGGAGGAACACTGGAAAAGAGTGCAGAAATTTCCTGGCGACGATGTTTTGCGTATCTTGTTGACTGTTTTTGCACTGTTGACTATTTTCATTTTTTTTGCAAAGTCCGCCTTTAGGGGGACATGCCCGACCTAACCCTGGGGTCGTGCGCTCCTCCCTCCGTGGTTGCTCCGGTTCGGGTGGGTTGTTGTGCCTCCGAGCTTGCAGTCCGTCGTGAGCGACGCCGCGCTTCGAGCTTGCATTGTCACGCGTGCTTCTGTGGAGCTAGCCGGGAGCCGAGCTTTGGTTTTGATTTGCGTCTTTGCGATCCTTTGGCCTGCGGCCGGTGCAGAGGGGGGTAATTTGTTGCTTTTCACGCGCTCGCTCTCTCTCTCGCTCTCGCTCTCTCTCTCTCTCTGTCAGGCCGCGGTTCATCCCATGGGCTTGCCTATCGCAGGCTGGCTCTCGGGTTTCGCCCGCTTTGCCCGGCGACTCTTAGGGCAGTTGATGACGTGCCCTGTGGAGGTCATTTGCGGCATCATCATTGTGCATTTTTTTTGTTTACGCGAGAGCCTCAGATAGCTTGCCGCGCGAAACCGTCTACGGGTGCAGGTTGTGGCTGGAGCCACGGGGCACGCGGACCGCACGGCCAACCCAGCCTGGGAGCAATCGGCAGCGCGGTGCCCTCGAAGGGGACCGGACTGCGTGCGGCACACGGGCGGCGCGGCTGACCTCGTCTTGAGAGGGCCCCGCGGCGGCGCGGCGCGACTGGTCCGAGGAATGCCCGGGCGGGGATGGCCAACGGGTTCAATTCTGCGAGCTCTCGCAAACGTACGGCCCGACCAGGCACCCGAAAGAACTCGGAGCCTCCAGGAGGAGGAGGAGGAGGAGGAGGTGGAGGAGGAGGAGGAGGAGGAGGAGGAGGAGGAGGAGGAGGAGGAGGAGGAGGAGGAGGAGGAGGGGAGGAGGAGCAGGAGGAGGAGGAGGAGGAGGAGGAGGAGGAGGAGGAGGAGGTGGAGGAGGAAAAGGAGGAAGATGGGGAGGTGGAGGAGCAGGAGGAGGAGGTGGAGGAGGAGGAGGATGAGGAGGAGCAGCGGCTGGTCCGAGCGACTGGTCTTGGGAGGGCAGCTCTCTGGGGCGCGCGGTGGGCACCGAGTGGGGCACTCGCGGCCTGGCGTGCGCCGTCGAGCTTTGTCTTTTGAGCGGGCCGCCGGGGCCAGGGCACGGAGCGGGCCTGCGACCAGTGACGAGCCCTGCCCCTGCGGGCCCGATCGTCAGGGGCATCGATAAGAGGAGGAGGAGAACGAGGAGGAGGAGGAGGAGGAGGAGGAGGAGAGGAGGGAGGAGGAGGAGGAGGAGGAGGAGGAGGAGGAGGAGGAGGAGGAGGAGGTGGAGGAGGGAGGAGGAGGATGGAGGTGGAGGTGGAGGTGGAGGGAGGAGGAGGAGGAGGAGGAGGAGGAGGAGGAGTAGGAGGAGGAGCAGGAGGAGGAGGAGGAGGAGGAGGGGGGATAGGCATTGGGGGGGCTGCATCGACCCCCAGTCGCTCATTGATCGCCGATGGGGGCCCGATAGCCCCAGCCTGCCCAGGAACTTGCGGATGCACTATCGGGGTATTATCGCCGATCTGTCGGCGATGTATCACCGGTTCAAGGTCGATGCATCCCCCCCTATGCCAGTCCCTCCCTTTCGTTGCCTCTCAGGTCGGCGCTGGGGTGTCGGACATCCCCCCCGCGAGGACTCATCTCGAGTCCTCCGATTCGATTCGATTCGATTTCGATTGATTCCGATTCCGATTCGATTCTACTTCGGACTTTGATTTGGGATCCGATGCCTCAGTGGAGGCCTGCTAGCCTGCCGGCTTTCCGCCGACGCGACTTTTCCCGACTCGGCCGCCGATCTCCGCCGATCCTTGCTCAATTTTTCGATCGCCGATCCGACTCGTCGACTCGATCGTGGGCACGAGACCCGCTGGGGGCTCCACCTGGCTGCAGGCGCCGTTCCAACTCTTGGGGCCCCAGCCTGGCGCTGCAGAGCCGGGCCTGCAGGGGCGGGCCCCGGGCCTGGGAGGAGTCGCCGCAGAGCGTTCTCTGGGGGCGCTCTCGAGGCGTCCTGGAGCGCTCTGGAACGCAGGGCTGGACCTAAACGGTGTTTTCGGCGATTTCGTGGGCCGTTTTCGTTTCGATTTCGTTTTGCGGTAAAGGCGGATTCGAGACAAAAGCGAGGGAAGACGAAAACAAAACGAAAACGACAAACACCGTTTAGGTTCAGCCCTGCTGGAACGGCCGCGGCGCCCGATGCATCCTCCAGAGCCGCCGGATCTCAGAGATCCCTGGTCCTCTCGTCAAGGGGGGAGAAACCACCCAGACCCGACAATCGGCGTTTACTAGACGTCCCTGGGCGTCTACGAAACAGGCCTGCCCTGTTCGAATTCCTTCTGTGGGTGCGTTTGCGCAGCGGCTTCGCGTATCGGGGTGATCATTCTGGGGGGGCATTTTCTGCCCTCTATCTTGTCCTGGTCCGAGTTTGTCCCGGTCCTGGTTTCGTCCTAGGCTGCCTAGCGGGCAGGCTTCAGGGCCGCGACTCGGTCGGGTCCCTTGCAGCCGTGGCGCTGCGGCAGGGGGGCCTTTCGGGGGCGGGGCCCTTACACCGCGACCCCTGTGGAGGCGGTGTGTTGTTTTTTTGCGCCGGTGTCCCGCGCGGAGCGTGTCCATGCGACCGCGCAGCTGCTGGGTCGCGCTCTGGAGTCCAGGCCGCGAGGGCGCGCACATGGACATAGTCGCGGCGCGCGTGCTCGCGCGGCCTGCCTGTGCGAGCAGTCGTCGGGCCTCGAGGCCGCTTGCCCGCAGGCGGGCCCTCCGGTAGTCGCTGCTCGGGGGGTAAGCGTCCAGTGGGGGAAGGGAGGGGGATGGGCTCCGGGGGGGATGCGTGGATCCCCGATCGCCCACTGATCGCCGATAGGGGGCTCGATAAGCCACCCCTCCTAGGAAGGTGCGGATTCGATGATTGGGGCTCATCGCGGATCTATTGGCGACGCATCGCGGATTCCAGGTCGATCCCCCCTCCTGAGCCAGTCCCCCCATGTCGTTCCTCTTCAGCCAGAGAAGCTCCGAGGGTCGATCGTGCGACTGATCGGGATGCGGTAGCGGCACCAGCTGTGTGAGCTGTGGAACGCCAGCAGCAGCAGCAGCAGCAGCAGCAGCAGCAGCAGCAGCAGCAGCAGCAGCAGCAGCGGCAGCAGCAGCAGCAGCAGCAACAGCTACCAGAGGCAACGTCCGAGGCTCGGAGCTCCTCTTGTAGGTCCCTCTGTACTGCCCTTGGTGGGCCACCGTAGAGGCCGTGTGAAGCAGCATTGGAGGCAACGTCGGGCTGCGTCTGGCCACATTGGAAACATGTGTTTGGGCTATTCGGGGGCCCCTCAGCCAGGAGAGCAAGTTTGGAACAATTTCGGCCACTAGCTCAGACAGGATTCTGGACCCCTCCGGATGGGGGGAGCATGGGGAGGGAGTTAGTAAACATCTCACACGCATTGTCAGCCCAGGCAGGTGAGGGTCTGTGGATTTGTTTTGTGCCTCTCCCTGGCCCTACGTGCCCTGACGCATCAGATAAGCAAAGCATGCTCTTCAGTCGGTCAAGCTGCGGATCTCGATGTCTGATGCGGCTGATGAAGAGGAAGATAGAGATGACCAGGCCAAGACATCTCACGCGCACTCCGAGGACGTTCACGATCCCCCAAGCGTTTTACATTCAGTCTGCCTTGGCCACTGTCTTGCTTTGAGCGTGTCTGTGGAGTGTGTGCATGCGCATCGCGTTTTAGAGCCTTTTCCCCTGCCATCAGTACGATCACAATGTCTGTTATGCGCTGTCTAACTCCCTTCTCGGGGGGCGCCTTGAGGCGGAGGGCGCCAGTCCTTCTCGCTCACTTCTCTTCGCCCCTCCGCGTCCTCAGCGTCCTAAATGCTCCGCTCTTTCACGACTTATCCAGATTGTACTCTCTGCGTGTAGTCGGGCGGGCTGATTCCCGAGAGAGTGCCACCTCAGCTTCGGACCGAAGCAGCTCGGATTGCAGGGCGGTTGTGACGCTGGAGGGACGGAGTGTCGAAGCGAAGAGCCGATAACCTTTCCGCAGCACGCCTGCAGCAGGTTATCGCATCAGCCTTCGCATGTCGTCCTCTCCGCAACCTCATAACCGAGTCGTTGGAATTTGCTTGGTGGAGTGATTCTGTTATCTAGTGGCTTGCGGCTCATTCCTCCACCGTGCCAGATTTGTAGACAAGAGTGTTGTCCAAAGCCTCGTGAGCTGCCGGGGGCATCGGTGGTTACTCTTATTGCCTCGGGGGCCCTCTTGCAGCGATTTGCTCGGGCTCCTTGGGCCGCTGTGGACGCCTCAACAACGATCGTCCAGTGGACACAATACGAAGCAGTTCCCACGGCTTTCAACGATTCATGTTTCGCGATTTACCTGGATGTCATGTCGGAAGCTCGAAAACACGATGATGACGCAAGGATTACGATATCATCGAGACGCTTATGCTATGTTGAGACCTTGGATGCTCGAAAGCACGAGAGGGCATGGACTATATTCATTGTCAAGGCGTATATGTTGTGCTAAGACGTTCGGGAAGTCCTGGAAGTATATCGGGAAGCGTCTGGGCCGCGGACAAGAGGCTTGTTGAGGCCTCCTGGCGTCTCATGGCATGTCTCTTGGTATTCAAGGGAGGAAAACCACCCTGACCGGACAACTGGCGTTTACTAAACGGCCCTGTGCGTTTATGAAACAGCCGTGCCCTGCTCGATTCCTTCCTTGGAGCGTTTACTCAACGACTTCGCGTGTCGGGGTGGGTATTATGGGGGTGTTCTTTTTGACTCCTAGGTATGCCTTTTGCAGGACTCTTGCAGGACTCTTGCAGGCCTCTCTGTAGCCTCTTGGGGGCCTTTGTGGGGGCCTGCTTGCGACGTCGGGGGCCATCTCTGATCGTCGGGCTCCACTGGCCCCTTCGGTTTCCCTCTCTTGGGCTCCTCTTGGGCCTGGAGACCTCTTGGGCCCCTCTCGGGGCGCCCGCAGGCTGCCTTCGGACCCTCTTGGACGTCCCCGAGCTCTTTTATGGGCTTTCTCCTCCTCCTCCTCCTTTTGGGCTGTCTTGGACGCTCTGAGCACGGAATCGCCGATTATGTGAAAATCATACAGAAACTGAAGGCCGTTCAATCGTTTTTGCCTTTTGTGCAGTCCCCCAACGCCCCTGGGACGGCACAATGGGGCCGCAGGAAAGACACGGGACGGCTCTTTGGTGCCACGCCGGTTCCTTCCGCTTTCTCGAGCGTTCCTTGATCGGCTCCTGGGGGATGTCGGGCTCGGTGTTGGCGGGCTTGGCTTCCTGGAGTCCCGCGCTGGGAGCGCCCAGGAGCGCCAGTCGGCGCCCAGCAGTTCCAGCAAGTTCGCGGCCAGGCCCCTAAAGAATCTTGGCATTTTTCTAGCACTTCGGGGGTGGACAGAACCCCCAACAGTGACACGTCGATTAGTGAATTGTCCGTTTTCGGTTCTCGAGAGGGCGCCGTGGCCGTTACTTTCCAGGCCTGCGCCCGCCAGGTTTGGGCCTCAGGTCGTTTTCACTAAACCACGTTTTACTAAATGGAGGTCTGTCCATCCCCGAAACACTCGCATCTGTGTGAGCCTTAGGGCAATCCACTACGCGCTGAAGGCACTGTGTCGGATACAGGGCTGGCAGAGTGTGGCAGTAACGGGTCCGTCCCACATCGATCATCGGGGTAGCGAAACTTGATTTCATTTGTGCTTCCCAGTTGCGAACGCATATTGCAGGCTTCTTACGTCTTCCTTCTGCATTTCCAGCCACTCTTTCACTCCTGTCTTGCGTGGCCCTTCCTGTCCGCTTAACTTCAAGACCCCGCGCAGCCAGGGCGGGCAATGGTACCTCTGGGTGAGCCGAGGGTTACTTTGTCCATGTGGCAATGCTGCGTCAATTTGCCCGCATCCTTTGATCATCAGAGCTTTGCTGCTTCGAATCTCCTCTTGCCCATCTGCAACCTCTGCCCTCCCCTCCAGCTACACAGGAGCAGCGTTGGACCACTTACCCGCGCCATCACTTCGACAGCCTCATGGGTCAGGCCTCCTGCCATGCCGATCCGGGGTGAATGCATTCATTCATCCGTGCCTCCCACAACGCTCCGTTTGCGCCGTTTGAAGGGTTTTCTTTGTGGAGACCCGTCCTGTATTGTGCACTGTCTCATCAGAACTGATAGTGTTGTTTTGGCCAGTCTCTGGGCTTCTCAACCTCGGCTTTCTTGCGCTTCCCGATGGGTCCATGGACACTACCCAGGGCCCCTTTTCCGTTTCATTTGTTGGTGCAGAGTTGTCTTAGCATGGTTCGTTCGTGCTTTCTCTCACTTGTAGATTATCCTTTCTGCTTCCCCCGCTCTTGCTTTCCCCGATTTCCCATCTCCCCATACATTCCGTTGCCGTCATGGTGCGCCCGCTATGACTTTAGCGTTTCGTGCAGATGGCACCGCCAGGTGCTCAGCTTCCGGCACATTGCTACGTCTTCTTCCACTGCTACCGACCAGGCAGCCGTGCTCGGCTGATAAATCCACATTGACTTTGAAGTTGATGGTGAGAGCTGCTAGTCAATTTGAACAGGTTCTGCAAGTGCTAAGATTTGGGTAGACAAAAGTGCGCCGCGAGGGGCCATGGGGATCCACACACACGCCGAGCTCCAGATAGAGAATTCCATGCATAGGGTTCCACCGTTCCCCCCAGTGTTCGGCACATAGGGTTTCACAGGTAGGTTTCCACACAGTGGGACACACACGCAGTGGATTCTATATTGTGGGTGTCACGCACATTACTCCGCACAGAGGGCTTCATACATAGGTCTCTGTGCACGTAGGGGTCCGCAAATCTGATTTTCTTCCGTCTGACTGGTCGGGGTCCCTGCGTTGACACCGCCAGGCAAGTTCTGGTCACCGCCGCAGCTCTAGGGCATAGTGTCGGGCGCGCTTGCGCCCTCCTGGGATATAGGCACGCGGTGAGGTTTGACAAGCGGGTGCGAGTCTCAATAGCTCGACCGCGCTTGTTTCCTCTCGCTCTCTCCCTCGGGTTGTTGTTGTTTGTTCTCTCTCTCTCTCTCTCTCCCGCTCTCCTTCCCTTCCTCTATCTCCCTGCTTCCCCCATTCTTCTTTCCCTCTGCCCTTTTCCTTTTTGCGTTCCCTTCCTTCCGCCCCCTTCTCTTACTCTGTCTCCGTTCTCGGCTCTAGGCTCTCTGATCCATTGCGTAGCCGTGACGCCAAGCGCCCCGCAACCTTTTCTGGCCTAGCAAATCCGTACGCGGTCAATCCCAGTCCGTCCTCTCCTGCATGTTGGATCCTTTATGGAGCCACCGTACAAGGCGTCTTGGGTATCTTGGCGGCCACGGAGAATGGATTTGGAGGTTCCAAGGGCCCCGGAGTTGCCCCCCCTGTCGGCCCCAACCCTCTAACGGGATTGTGGACTCGAGGTGAGGGGGAAAGGGGGAGGGGGGACAGCCAACCATAGCGACAGCCTTTTCACCACCAGCACGGGGGAGTCGGCGGATTAATGTCAGAGGCATCGGCATGTTGATTCTCACGATGTTCCCGACGGGAGGGGCGCGTTCTGATCGTTATTGGGGTCGTGCGTACTTCCTCTGTGACGCCATCAGGGCGTCAACCCGTGCGCTTGCCGCTGCTCCCGCCCGCGAAAGCCGAGATGCAACCAGCTACACCTCGGTTATGTGAAGCTCTCTGCGCTGATCGGGATCGTTGCTATTGCGAGTTGGACAGCGCGACGTCGCGCACGGTTTGAAAGACCCTTGGAGGGCCATGCCGACGATCACCGTACGCTGCCACTGTAGTCCAGTCTGCCGGTCGGCGGTGGCCGCGCACAGGCACATATTCCACAGCGTGCTCCGTGGCGGGCCGTGCAAGCGTCGCTGGGCTGCCCCCGCCAGCGTGCGTCGCCGACGGAGGCGCTCTCGCAGGCCCCCCCTGCGGTTGGAGGCTGGGCGCCGCCGGCGCGAGGCCCGCGCCGAGGGCGCCCGAGCGGGGCGGCGGCCGCCGACGGCACGCGCACCGCGAAGCAGCGGTCGGGAAGAGGCGCTGCGGCCTCGGCGTCGGCCAGTGCCGCGGGCGCGCTCTGCGGCGACCGCGCGCGAAGGCTTCGGAGCTGGGCGGCGGCGTGGGCGCTGCGGGGGCGCCCTGCGTCGGGGCCCGCCGAAGCTCTCTGCTGGCGCGGCCAGTGCAGAGCTGCGAGGGAGGCTGGAGTGGCAGCGAACGCGAGCTCCACGGCCCGATGCCGCCGCGGAGCGGCATCGCCGTCCCAGGCGCGGCCTGTGCAGACTCGCAGGGCCTGTCGTGTGCGCCTGCCCACCTCCGGGGGTCCCACGGCGTGGCAGCCAGAGCGCGTTCGCCCTCGGCACTCGGTGGCGCCGGGTGCAGACGGCAAAGAGCCCCGAGCTAGTCACAGCTGAACAAGGGGCCCTGCTTTCAAGCAGCCTCACCGCTCTGTGTTGTCAGCTGCAGCAGGGTGATGGCGTCCCCATGGCTCCTCCATCCGAGACCCGTCCAGAGATGTGGGTGAGTCCTTCCTCCGCCAGGGACGTGTTTTTCGACGCGCGGCCGCGGGCTCCGACGCTGCCGCGTTGCAGCGACATGCGTTACGTGTTCGTTCGCCTGGTCCGTCATCCGAAGCACGAGGCGCGGAGCCTCACTGCGCTCTGGCGCGGCCTGCGCCACGCTTCCCATCGGGAGGCTTTTCCTGGAGCCATGGCGACAAAGACGCGTGGCTCCTCAACTTGGCATCGCTCGGACGTGTGCATATTTTTTCTCGGCGAGAACCATCGAGGAACATCCTGGACCATCGAGCAAAAAAATGCACGAAACCGAAACATGCACGGGAAATGGACGTCCGAGCGATGGTAAGTTAAGTCACCCCGCCTCGGGGTCAGTACCCGCCACCATCGGCAGCCAGCCGCAGCAGCAGTCGCAGCAGCATTCAAGGCGTGCGCAGCGCTATCCAGGCGAGGTCCAGTGAGGACGCCAGCCCATGCAGTCGGCCTACTGTTCCAGTGGTGGCCACCGCCGCCGAAAGCCATTTTCAGAAACGCCTGTTTGACAGCCGCATCGCAGCAGCGCCAGGTCAGCGTACTTTGGTACAGCACTCTTCATATCGTTACGACTCGCCCTTGTCACCAGGGCTGGCTCAACATGCGGCCTACACGCTCGCGTGGGTATGTGGGCTTTTACGCTGGATATGCTGGCTGGGAGTATCCCTCGACAGCAGTACGTTCAGGCTACTCGTAGACACCGTTTTGGTGAGGCAAGGCGAGAACATCTGCCAGCGCAATGAGCTCACCAACCATCAAACGGAACTATTGGTCAATAAGTTGCTGGCAAAGTTCCGCCGCGTCGGTGACATTGCCAACGCCAAATGCACCCAAAGAAGGTAGCAAGCCGGCGGATCTCCATGTGTGAATCGTTTATCGTACCGCGGGCAAGTCAATTTTCTTACGTGACTGTCCGCTGTTACCCAGTGTCAACGTCAGCACCCCCTTGGTCTGATCGCATCCAATGTTGAGTCAAGAAGGCACGTGAACGGAGCGCGACGAGCTCGGCACCTGCCGAGTACGAACACGCCGTCTCAGGCAAACGCACAAGGTGTGGCCCAGAGCGACAGGATCAGGCTCACCATAACCATGACGTCGGCGGAGATTTCGACGGCGTCGTTCACCACCCACCAAGCCACCCCAACCCAACGGAGGCCCAACATTACCCTCGATTTCCAGTGGGGGGGGGGGCTCGGGGAACATCGAAAAAACACATTTGGAACCCGTACCACCCCCAACCCGAACTTTGGGTCTTCGGGTCAAGTTGGGGTGATCTGGTACAGTGCCGTTTTTAATACATGCTCCGCGTGCGGATCATGTGTTAAGCATGCAGGGATTTAGTAGTAAAAACAAAGATGCGTTCATGGATAAACCTACCCATGGATTGATCAAGTGTTAAAATCCAATATTTTTAAACATCCCATGTATTAAAACCTGCCCTGTAGTCAGCTGTGCAGGAGACCTTGGCCGAGGCTTTGGGTCAAGTTGGGGTGGTCTGGTAGGTAGTCAGCTGTGCAGGAGACCCTGGCGGAGGCTCTGGCGAGCGAGTCCCGCCGCGAGAGGGGCCCCGCCTTTCCCCCGCTCTTGCTGCCGCTGCGTATGCCCGTATGTCACTAACTAAACAAAAAAACGCCCAATCCCAAAAACGCGAGGGCCAAGACGAAGCGCAGGCTCCTCGAGACTTCGGGGAGGGACGTTTTTGGGCAGGGTTCTACCAGGGCGACGACGACGAGCGCAAAACATACCCCGAAATCTTTGGCCGATCTTCGAAACCTTGGTGAATCCGCGATTTTGGGATTGGGGATGTGTTTTCTCTGGGTCAGTATGCCCTCCCCGCCCATCACAACCACCCTCCAAACCACCCCAACCCAACCCGAAGGCGTCAATTTGACCCCCATTTCCAGTGGAGGGGGGTCGAGGAATTCTGGGAAAACGCATCTGGAACCTGTACACCCCTCCCCCACCCGAATTTCGAGCGGAATTCTGGCTTTCGGGTGGGTTTGGGGTGGTCTGGTAGGTGGCCACAGCAAGAAACAGATTCGGGGCAGTTGGTTTGTCGTGTGCGCTCGCCGTGTTTGACTTTTTGTGTGCTGATGGCGCCAGCTTTGCTGGGAGAGCCGGCTCCTCTCCTGACCGTCCGGTGCACGGCTTGGCACCGCCCGTACGCAGCTTCTCTTCTTCCCCTTCCAACAGTGCAGCTGCTCCCATCTTGGCCTGGTCGTTCTCTGTGTCCTTCTCATGCCACTCAGCCTGATCCTCCCAGCTTCTGTCTCCCCATCCTTTTCCCTCCGCCGCTTCACTGTTTCTCCCTCTCTCTCCTTCCCCATCCGCCTTGCCTTTTCCTCTTGCTCCTCCCCCGACGCCTCGATGTCGTGCACGCCCTTTTCGGTTCACGTTTGCGGGGGGTGACCACGCCAGGCGTCTAACCAGCGGAACCTGGTCTCGTACGCCTCGATGGGCTCCGTGCTCTCCTTTGCCGAGGCATCGCACTACCCCTTACCCCGTCGCCGAGAAGACTCCGAAAATGGTGCGGGGAGAACGAGGGTCAACCTCACCGCCCAGGGCGTTGCGTGATCTGCTGACTTGCGGGATGCACTTGTCCATCGTGCCCCGCAGAAACGCCCCAAGAGCACCGCCGTTCTTGATTCCTCCTCCGCCTCCCCCTCTCAAGTTGTGTAGGGGCTGTCAGAGCTTTGTGGGCCCCGGAAACGGCAGGGCCGTTTTTTACCGTTTCCAGAAAACTGTACCTTGAAAATGGAAACGGCAAAAAGAACGTCGACCGGAAACGGCAACAAAAACGGCTCTAGGATTGGAACCTGAGCCGGAACAGGTAAAAAAACGGCGACGGAACCAGTAAAAAAACGGCGTCGGAACCGACAAAAAAAAAAACGGAACCGGTAAAAAAACGGCCCTGTCGTTTCCAGGGCCTATTAATTGTCGGAGATCATCCTTTGGGTGGGCGGGAGTTTCGGAGGCCGTTGGCGAGCCCAAGTTTTACGGTTCGCTTACGCCGTGCGGCCAGACATGAGGGGAAGCTCCCTTTCAGGCTGTGCGGCGGCCCGGGGATTCTGGCCGTCCTGTCGGTAGACAGGGATGTGCCACTGTCTCGGCATCGCTCGGACGTGTGCATTTTTCTTCGGCGAGGACCATCGAGGAGCATCCTCGATCATTTGGCGAAACAAAAAAACACGCACGAAACCGAAAAAAGCACAGGGAATGGACGTCCGAGTGGTGGCGAGCTGTAGAGTGGGGTCGCGCATCAAGAGTGAGGAAACCAACCGACCTCCCTGGACCTCTCCCGGGGTGCGTTCTGACCAAGATCTCGAGGCGAACCCGCCGGTGTCGACGAGGGCCTCTCAGGAGACCCAAGAAGTGGAAAACGATAGACCGGTAGCGGTATGGGTACCTTCTCCCCTGCCGAAAGAAATTGGATGCTCTTCGTCAGGGTACTTCGCGAGTTGCGCGGTGGCTTCCCGCGGGCGATGAGACACTGCTGCCGTTTTCCGCCTCAGGTTGCACTCCAGTGAGTGCTGGGTTTCTTGCGAGGGTTCTGTCGGCCGTGTCCGCACTGTGCTGCCCGGATGCTCGTGGGCCAGTTCACGACCACCCGCAGGAGCGCGAGGATAATTGTCCACCGCCAAGTATCACTGCCCACCAAATCATCCAAACCCAACCCGAAGGCACCGATTAGCCCTCCGTTTCTAGTGTGTGTGTGTAGGGGGCGGAGAACATTGAAAAACAGATTTGAAGCCCGTCCCCCCCCCCCGGCCCGAAGTTCGGGTCTTTGGGTTGGGTTGGGGTGGTCTGGTAGGTAGTCAGAATATGTTCACATCCACCGCGGCAGTGGATATGAACACACTCTTGGCGGCAGTGGATGTGAACACACTCTTGGGCGAACTCGCCTTCGTGGTTTGGCAGCGGTGGCCAGCCTCGGAGGCCGCATCTCAGGCTGTTGCCGCCCTTGGAGATCATGCTCCCCTTGCAGCGGAAGTCACCACTGTAGCTGAAGTCTCCCTGGTACCGTCAAATCGCACACTGAGGATGAGTAACTTTCCAAGAGTGCCCTATTTGCCTGTCGGCCAATCCTAGCCCTTAGCCATGGGCCATGGGGTTCAAACTTCGGTTTCAGTCAAGGCGTCCAGGAGCATTGCATCCTTGCCGCGCACCCTTGTGATCCTTTCGCGCGGCAGCTGCACGGTTTCTATTGCCGCTTGCAGCATGCCCAGCAGCTCAGATCTCAGGCCCGCCGAAGGCAGCTACGTACCACTGTCATTCCTGGCCAGGGCCATCCGGGTCCCTGTGATAGCGTACATATTCGCACCATGCCAGGTCTCACGGTGGCCCTGGCCTGGCATGGTGGTGGTGTGCAGGTGCCCTTTTGCGAGACGGAGGCGGGAGGGGTGGTGTCAGATCTCAGAGAGGGTGGAGGTCCTCCTCCTCCTCCTCTTTCCTCCTCCTCCTCCTCCTCCTCCTCCTCGCTCCTCCTCCCTCCTTCTCCTTCTCCTCCTCCTCCTTCTCCTCCTCCACCTCCTCCTCCTCCTCCTCCTCCTCCTCCTCCTCCTCTCCCTACAGCGTGAACCCTCGGAGGTCCAGAACCCTTCCGCCGGGACTGGCGTTTCTTCTCGAGCCTTCCTTTGACGGCCCCGGGGCACAGGAAGTGTCAGGCATGGCTAGGACGAAGACGAATCGCGCCGAAGCCTTCTGGAACGTCTGGAACGGCCGTGGCGCCCGATACATGAGGAGGAGGAGGAGGTGGAGGAGGAGAAAGGAGGCAGGAGGAAGGAGCAAGGAGGAAGCAGGAAGGAGGAGGAGGGAGGAGGAAGCAGGAAGGAGGAGGAGGGAGGAGGAAGCAGGAAGGAGGAGGAGGGAGGAGGGGGGAGGAGGGAGGAGGTAAGAGGAAAGGGAGGAGGAGGAGGAGAAGGAGGAGGAGGAGGAGGAAGAGAAGGAGGAGAAGGAGGAGGAGGAGGAGGAGGAGGAGGAAGGACTGAGGAGGAGGAGGAGGACGGAGGGCTGAGGGTGTGAGGGATGAGGGGCGAGGGATAAGGGATAAGAGATCAGGTATGAGGGGTGAGGGATGCGAGGAGGATGCTGCTGCTGATGATGCTGATGATGGTGCTGGTGATGCTGATGTTGCTGGTGATGCTGATGATGATTAATATGCGGATGATGATGCTGATATTGATGCTGATGCTGTTGCTGCTGCTGCTGCGGATGATGATGGTTGTGATGGTGGTGATGATGGTGCTGATGATGATTACGATGATGATGATGCTGATGATGATGAGGATGATGATGATGATGATAACGATGATGATAGTGAGGATCATAATAATGGTTGGTGTGGCGGTGTTGATGGTGATGATGGTGATGATGCTGATGATGAGTGTGACGATTAGGTTATTGATGATGGTTGTGGTGGTGGTGATGTTGACGATGACGCTGATGATGATGATGACGCTGATTATGCTGATGATGGTGATGATACTGATACTCGTGATGATGCTGATGCTGATGCTGATGCTGATGCTGCTTCTGATGATGATGATGGTGATGGTAAAGCTTGTGGTGAGGGTGGTGGTGTTGATTATGATGCCGATGTTGATACTGGGGACATGGTGATGCTGATGATGACGACGACGCTGATGATGATGGTGCTGGTTTTGGTGATGTGATGATGATGGTGGTTGTGATGCTGATTTTGATGATGCTGCTGATGATGATGGTGGCGGTGATGACGGTGATGGTGTGGTTCAAGATACTATAGTTCCTGCTGCTGATGACGATGCTGATGATGCTCATGGTGACGACGATGCTGATGTTGCTGCTGATGATGATGGTGCTGGTGTTGCGATGCTGGTGATGGCGATGATGATGCTGATGATGATGCTGATGGTGATGCTGATGATGAAGATGGTGTTGGTGGTGGTGATGAGGATGATTATGTTGATGCGTATGGTGATTGCGATGACGATGACGATGCTGCTGATGCTGCTGCACATGCTGATGATTGTTATGGCGATGATGATGACGACGCCGCTGATGTTGATGATGATGCTGCTGCTCATGCTGATGATGATGATGATGATGGTGATGATGATGTCGATGTTGATGCTGATGATGATGGTGATGATGATGGTGATGCTGATGTTGATGATGATGATGCTGATGATGATGATGCTGATGCTGATGATGATGATGCTGATGCTGATGCTGATGATGATGATGATGATGATGATGATGATACTGATGATGATGATGCTGATGATGGTGGTGGTGATGGTGATGCTGCTGATGATGATGATGATGATGATGATGATGATGATGCTGATGATGATGATGATGATGATGATGATGATACTGCCGATGTTGATAGTGATGGTGGTGGTGGTGGCCATGGGTATGATGATGGTGCTGGTGGTGCTGATGATGATGTTAATGGTGATGGTGATGGTGATGGTGATAATACTGATTCTGATAATGAGGTGCGAGGGGTAAGTGGCGAGGAATACGGGCTGAGGGTGTGAGGGATGCGGGGCGAGGGATTAGGGACGAGAGATCAGGGATGTGGGGCAAGGGATGAGAGGATGATGATGATGGTGATAAGATGATGTTGTTGATGATGAAGAAGCTGATGATGATTATGATGTGGATGATGATGCTGACGATGATGCTGATGCTGATGCTGCAGCTGATGATGCTGCGTCTGCTGATGGTGATAATGCTGGTGCTGCTGCAGATGATGCTGCGGATGATCATGTTGAGGATGGCTGCTATGATGTCAAGTATGATGACGATGGTCGTGATGTTGATGCTGGTGGTGATGCTGATGATGATGGTGGCGAGGAGGATGAGGAGGAGGAGGAGGAGGAGGAGGTGCACGAGGAGGGGGAGGATGGAGGGCACTCGCACGGTTGAACGGGCAGGTTCGACCTGCCAGCAGAGGAGGCCCTGTACCTCCTGGCCAAAATGGCCCGCTTCCCTGACCGCGGCTCGTTCTTCTCTCACAAGGGCACCCTCGAGGGCGCGAAGTTATTCGCGCTTCGCGCTTCGCGGTTCGGCTCCGATTCCTCATCCTGCTCTTTTCCCTTGGGAGGCGGCGCGAGAACGTGAAGTCATTCGCACTTCGCGCTGCGCGACGCGCGAAGTTGGAAGCCCTTGCTCTCACGAGTTGGGCCAGGAGGATGTTACATATAGTTTGAGTATCACGGGGGAGCTCTTGGGGCTCCTGGGCAGCCTTCCCTCCCGGGCTCGGGCCAACTGTTTAGCTGCCCCCCTGGAGGGGTGACCTGCGCCTGCACAGGGTAGCTAGCTCTCTACAGCCGCACCTATGGCAGACCAGCAAGCTTGTTGGCTGGCCAGCGTGCTCATAGTAGAATAGGCTATGCCCTTTGGGGTCGCCGGCCAAGTCCAGAAGGTGCCCAGAGTAGCCAGGAGAGCGGGTATCAACCATCGCAGTGTACCTCGTATACGTCCTAGCTTCTCTGCGGCCAAGAGTGCGCCTCCAACGCCGTCGGAGAGCAACATCGCATGAGGCACGCTGATCGGGGTCCTCACGGGATTTGGGCGGAGGAGGG